TCTAACATCAACAAGGTTTGGGGGCTGTATTCAAGTCATTACATATTTTCTGAACACCTACTATATACCAGGCAAGATTAATACTACCCCATTCCTGCTCCAAGGAAGGTCCATATTTTTATAGGATAGACCAACATATAAATAATCCCACACGCTAAGTATCATTACCCCTATTACCCTCAATTACAGATGGGGCTTAACAGCTTAATTAACCTACTCAAAGTCATATAAGGTTTATCAGATTCAAAAAACTTTATTTTTCCCACTAAACCATCCTTTCTGGAGTATGAGAGTGAGGGATAGGAAATGACTAATTTTGCCAGGGGGCAGGGAAATGCAGCCAAACGAGGGAGGTGGTACCTGGGGAGAGGGTGTTTTACAGATAATACCTGATTTTGGCTTTTTAAGGATAAGTGTGATTTTGCCAATAGCTCCTATCTATAGAATTATAACTATAAACCAGGCATCATACTAGTTATTTTCTATGCATTACTTTATTAATTCTTCCTCCATTTTCGTCATAAGGAATTGGGGTTCACAAAGATTAAATGACTTGCTCAAAGTTTCATGGCTCAATTCCATTCAACAAATATTACTTAGGCCCCGATTATGAGTCAGACATTGCATTTAGCCCTGAAGACATGACAATGAAGTCCCTGCCCTCAAGAAGCTCTCCAGGCAGTAGGGTAGAAATTTATGATACCATGAACCAAATCCACCAATAAGAGCTACCAGCCATTAGGCACCTATTATGTGCTGGGTACTTTATATGAGGAGCTTCGTATGATTAACTCTCTAAACAATTCCTTGAGGCAAGTCCTACTATTTGGCATTTGATAGATGAAGAATGGAAGAGGTTAAACGATATAGCCAAGGCCACACAGAAGTCACAGGGCTACACCACTTTCTTCAAATGGACCTGTTTTCGAATCTTGTGAATCATGTTAAGAAGCCTATGGGCATTGGTAAGTCAGAGATGAAGTTTTTTAAGCAAGGGTGTGACATGACCAAGTCCAAGTTTTCAAGTAGTAACTTCAGTGGTATACAGTGGATGCCCCAAGAGCAGGGACAACACCTGGAAGCTAGTACAATTGGGAGAGATGATCATCAGATCTTGAATAGAGGGAGTGAGGACGCAGAGGACAGCATGGATGCAAGTGGCATTTTTTAAGCTAAGAGGCACAGGAATTATTGAATAATATGCTATATGACCTTTTACTGCGCACATTTATCTTACTAACTACCTCTCCAAGGGGGTCCTGGCATGCCTCGGAAAGAGCACTCAGCTGGGGTTGCTGCCTGGGCTCTGCTGCAACCCTGGAAAAGCCATTTAGCCTTTGGGGGCCTCAGTTTCCTCTACTGCCAAATGAAAAAGTTTGACTGGAAGATCCCTGAAGTCTTTTCCCCAATTGGAATTCCATGTGTGGCTCTCCATTTTGCATCTATTCTTTAAGATGGAAAAATAAATTAAGCCACCAGAGGTCCCCACATACTAATATATCCAGAACAACCATCTTTGCAAGGAAATAGTTCTAAAAATTCCCTCCATCCTGATCTGTAAAATTTCTTCTATTTGCTTAGTATGAAATCCAAGGAAGAAAATAGTAAGCTACAATTAATGTTCATAAAACTCTAACAAAACAGTATAAAAATTAGTTTTAAATTGCCATATAATTCTTCATTTTAAAAAAAAGCCAAATGATCATTTATTATACACTTGATTTGCA